GTGGGTTGGGGTGGGCTGCGGGCTGCGCTGCCGGGCCGGCGGCTGGAGACGAGTGCTGGGGCAGAGGACGGAGAGGCTCAGCCTGGCGTTGGCCACCATGTGGCGCCTGGCCTCGGTGGCTCAAGAGACCTAGTCGACCGACTTGCGGTTGGTTTCCCACTTCTGTAACATAGACTTCAGATAAACAGTGAGGGGCCGGTCACCCCAGGCACCTCCCTGCTGCCACCACTGGCCACTGCTTTGGAGCCTGTGCCCCGCCCACTCCGCTCCATGCTGGAGTGTGTAAGCGAGAATCCAGGTGCTCCAGCTGTCTGACGGGTGCCACACGGCCGTGCTACCCGTGTCACGCCTGTGGCACCAGCGCCATGCCCGGTCTCAGCACACGCCCCGTCAGGGACCTCCCTTTCTGATATCACCTGTGTGGAGGGTTTGATCTGTGGGAGCGACCGATGGGCTCCAGTTCAGGGCCTGCGGACCTCCTGTCTTGCCGGCGTCATGTTTTGTGTTGCTGGGTCACCCTCCACCTTGGCTCCCTCGCGTGGTCTGCCCAGGTGCAGACTGGTGGGTGTGCCAGCCTGCCCTTGCTCTTGCATCGTTCTCCCCAAGTCCCCCTGAAGAGTGACCCCCAGAAGCTCAGTTCCCACAGTGACGCAGGCCCACGGTGCCTCACCTCCGTCCCCTCCACCTCAGGCCAGGGCTGCTGTGGGTGAGGCCGCCACGGAGGGGTCGACCCACTCCCCAGTCTGGTGGGTTGGGGGAGACGAGGTAGGGCTTGCAGGTTGGGGGCCTGGTGCCGGGTTGGAGGTAGCAGGGTCCAGCGGCCGTCACTGGCATCCTGCCCAGGCGGGTGTCCTCAGAGCGTCAGTGTCTGCAGAAGGACTAGCTGTGTCCGGGCCTCCGGCAGTCAGCACAGAGCTGGTGACTCCAGTCACGAGGCTAGAGGCCGTTCTGGGGTGGCGCGTTTGGGCAGTGGAGGGGCAGGAGAGGTGGGGAGGCCACAGGGAGGGCCGGCAGAGGGCACCTCCTCAGCGAGCCCCCCCTGCAGCAGCCCACCATGGGCCCACCATGTGGGCAGGCACCAACTCAGGCTCCGTGTTCGCCTACGCGCTGGAGGTGCCAACAGCGTCGGCGGGCGGCGAGAAGCGGCCGGAGCGGGCGGGGGAGGCCGTGCTGGGCAAGGAAGTGCAGCTGATGCACCGGGCACCTGTGGTGGCCATTGCCGTGCTGGACGGGCGTGGGCGGCCGCTGCCCGAGCCCCACCCAGGCCCGC